TAGAAACAACAGCAAAAAGTGGGGGCGACGTGGATCCCGATCGGCGCGGCGCGTGCCCGCAAATGATAACGCCTACCAGAATCCGATGTGGCCCCATTTTAGTCCAGCGCATCTAGCACCTGGCCCGTTTTGGGAGTACGACGTAGCCCACAACACACAAACCCGCCGACACTTAGTCCCTGGCATAATACGCTTGGTCACCGCGGCTTGCCGGTTTTTAAACGTGAAGAAATACAGTTCGAATCAGTTTCCCATTCAATCCGTGTATGCGTGATGACTGTAGCTTAAACCTTGTTGACATCTTGAGCAGTTAAACGTAAAAAGCCTGAAAACGGAGAGCAAATTTACGCATCTCGGATCAAACATTGCGGCAAAATAAGTGACGTTCGTGAGTGTTTTTGCAATCTCCTTTATAGGAAATTGCGTGCTGTCATCTTAACCGAAATTTCATGTAAGTAGGCGCGTTGAGGGAACTTTGTTCTAGAAAGAAAATATTTTGAGTGCTAACTTGATACTAGCTGGCGATTCTAGTGATCTTCTGTTTCGAAATAAATGCTGCCTCTTTTCGAGACGCTTATGCAGCTAAGCGCATCTGTTCTGCAAGTTATTTTATCACATGTGCAAGACTTTATCACCTTAAACGTTTCCGTAGTTTTTTCCGCCATTCGGCTCAAACTTCGTGTATGCATAACTCCACTTCTACTGCATGCCGAAAATATCCCCTGTGGAATGCTCTCACATCCAAACTTTAACTACCTTCTTACTCCAAAAGACTGCTGAAGGGCTGAAGACACTAATGGGTACTGACCTAAAGAGTAGATCCGAGCTCTCAACTTTGGTAAATCGGCTTTCAGAAGTCAGAAATATTCGATCACCCTTTCTGTAAATCCTATATGCTTGCCTTTAGAGCTGTTCCCGTAGGTCACACATCTAGTATGAAAGCTAGTTGGCGTCATGTGGAGGGATTCTCAGACGCCGCATAGAGGTCAGTCCACATTCAACTCGATTACGATCCTCTCCATAATTATTTGAACAAACCAAGACACCGTCCACGCCGTTTTGTTTGTTCTGGTATTTCTTTATTGTACCTGTTTAATTATCGTTCACTCACAGCTGATCACCGTTTCCTGACGATTCTTTAAGGGCGCGGTGGCAAAAACACAGCCCGTCAGCATCAGTTTCATCATAAGATCATGCCATGTCAACTGAAAATGAATCAGACCACAGCCACTCTCATGTATTGTACGCCCTGCCTGGGCTGTTAAGTGTGTGAGTGGTAAAATGGCCCTCAGTTAACAATTTTGTTATATTATTCTAAAATGCAGACCGATATTTTTTGGACGTAGGCCTCTTATCCACTCTGGTCGTTTGACAGACTGAAATTTGATGTCTGAACTCTAACAGCCATTCCAAAACTACAGGGGACTACAGTGTAATTTCTGCATAAGCAATGCCACCATGTCACGTTGCCTTTAGAGCGCACTATTGTTTCAGAAAAGTCAAAGCCGACTGCCGTAGTACCTGACCCAGAATAAGCGCCTGTTGGGACTTAGATGAGATTTAAAGACAATATCAATTTGCATCTTACCGACATAAAAAGCTAAACAATGAGCTCTCTTTCACGACACTCTCAGGACGGCTCAGTCAACCCTTTAATGCGTCAGCATAAGATTCCGGTTCTTTTAACTCTAACTGAATTAATGATGAACAAATGGCAATAAAAACGCTGTAGTATACAAGAGAATTTAGACCTTTTCCAAATGCTATTATGTCCCTATGACCTACCAACCTTTTCTTTGTCAGGAACTAAATAAATTGGTATCGAACTGTTTTGTTTGCCAAAATATTTTACCCACTTTATGCAACTTTTCAGAAGTCTTGTCAGGAGTTATCGGTTGTGGAATTATCGAAAATAACAAGTAGCGACCTACTCTCTGAGGAAAGTTGATTCATGAAGGTGGCATTCATAGACCTGTCCTGATCGCAGGAAAGAAAATGTGCAATTCCGATTTCCTGGATTCATCATAATCTCAGCACAGTTGCTATAAAAATGCCCATCCTAGTGCCCCTGCCGAGAGTACGGCATCTATATGCTACTGACTTTCTGGCAGAAGTTTGGGTAGTTTACGCAGTTATTGGGCTGAATCTAATGTATTTCGGGTCTTTATATAAACATTTGAGCTGGGGATAAAAAGAATTTGGTCCGATTTCACACATTTTATTTTCCTCTTGAGGTCCGTTTTTGGACCTTCGCAGGCTATCACAGTGCGACGACTAAGTAATCAAGAACCTACATCGGAAGTGGTGTAAGCGACTTGAATGGCCATTTCAGCCCTGATTATCATTGTCAACCAGTGGTAGGTTGACGCACTGTTGAGAGCACTCAGGCTCTGTGGGCAAGGAGCAGACGAATTCCGTCATGCATTAGTGTTTGGAAGGCAAAAAAGTACTTGGATAGAGAGTTTAAGCCGCGATACATAAACTGGGATGCCACACATCTTTCTTAACTATGAGCAAACAAGTGCTCACAGTTTAAACAAGCCCAGAAGACACCCACTAAGCAAATCTCAGGTCTCCATAATTAGAACACACCTCCTATAGCCTCGGTCATTAACCGTGCAGGAGGATTACATGTTAGAGATGCCCTTAACTACAATGCGCATGGAGTACACGTCAGCACGAACGTCGCTGCTTCTCTGAAGTGTCAGTCTTTCTGCCTGCTTGTTACAAGACTCGGCGCAACGCCTAAAGTGGCCTGAATGTCACATGCATGTACCGCAGTAAACAGGGCCTCATGCGGACACAATGCAGTCTGATAAAAGGGGGCCGAGCACCCTGGGATTCAGAGCACCCAGTGGGACAATTGCACAGGTCCCAGGTGTCCGAGTTTGTCCGTCTGGATTTTGGCAGATTGATCTTAGTTGAGTGCAAAACGTGGCTGTGCCGGCGTGCAAAGGTTTCAAAAGCGTGACAGCGGGCAGTTGTTATTAATTTACGTCTTGTTCCGTTCCGTACATAATTCTGCGTAAAAATGGACTGATAATTCTCAGGAAGAAAATCGACGCTGGCAACGGGATCTGATGCAGCTGCTAAGATAACCAAGGAGATAAATCAGCGACTAAATGCACTAACATATTTTACGTTATGCTACTCATCATGGATTTAGGCGAAAAATGCGGTCGTCTGACATCAGGAACGCGTTGCCCACCAGCAGGTCCACAGTAAGAGGAGCATTTTAGGCTGATTTGCCTAAACTTCACTCGTCACCATGCCCCGCCCCCGCAAGTCATTCAGCGACACATTGGAAAAAAGGGGGTTTTGTTGTTTTAAAAGCATTCTGTTGTGAAAAGCGTACAAATGTTAATAGATGTCCGAGCAGACACACTCAGAGAGTAATTTAAGCAAAAAGGCTGATTCACTTGAAATGCCGCTGTTGACCGCCGCCGCCGCCGCTGCCGCCCCTACAGAGGGAAGAGCCCTAAGGTGCTCTGCGAGCAGGCGGGGCTGCCATGGTGAAAGAATGCAAGCCTGACCCAAAGACCGCGAATATTCCGGCGGGAAAGTGTCCAATCAAAAAAGAGGAAGGCATACTGCAGTCTGGTCCTGATGGCTACTGCCATTAGTCGCCTTAAAATATATGCTTATGAAGGCCCGTACAGAAGTGAAGACGAGGGGAGGAAATGACGGTGATGACAGCAACGGAATCCAAGGGAAATATCTTCGTCAGGACTCAGTCTTTAGCTTTAAAAGGAACGAAAGACGGATGGTGACGCTGTAAGTTGGCATATGTACAAGGCCTAATGCACTTTTCAGTTTGGTGTGTGGGTGAAAGCACCTGCAAAAGCGCGAAGAGGGGAGATGCAAAATAGGTTTCTACATACATATACATACATAAATGTATCGCCTCGGGGCGTAAAACCTGAAAAGGAGGTCGAAATTCTGTTCCTTTCCCCCTCTAAAACGGTTTGTTACATTGGTTCACTTTGTCTTAAAGAGAGTACAAAGTGGGTAGAAGATGGACGGCGACGTACCAGCGAGCAAGTTTTATCCAGAATAGACGTACTCATAAACGTGGTCGACGGGGAAGCTGCTCTCTGATAGTGTTGAAGAGATCTCCATGCTCTCATCTACGAAGTGACAACAGCTTTCAAGAGGGATCTATGCACAGGCTCCAATTCAGGTGAATGGGCGATATCAGAGACTTGTGTCACTATACAGTCGCCGTTTGGTGCATTCAAGGGGGCTGGCGAGGGAAACACGCGCACACAACCAGCTGCCACATCAGAATCAACGGCTGACTGCTTGCCGTCTGTCGGTGATGGTTGGTGTTTCTCAGATTCCAATTCAGGGAGGACCGGTAGTTTGTGGAGTAAGAGGGAGAGACCCAGCAGCAGCGCAATCGTTATCATGAAAACACAGAGACCAGAGAAAAGCCAAATACCGTTCAGAGGCCCAACGACACCATCACAAGCAGCAGACGTCACAGCGACATAGGCATCATGTAGTCGACGACATCTGCCAATATCTCGTATCAGCGAGGGACCCCTTCGTCGAATCAGAAAATCAGCCTGTGCCGGTAAATTCCTGGCAATGTGTTCGTCAAATAAGTCCATGGCCATGGCGATAAGGCCGGGCTTATCGTTCATTTGTGAAACCAAATTATCAACCTTCTTTTGGAGAGCGGAGACAGTCGGACCAATACGTTTTAATTTGCTCAGTTCCTGCAATGATTTATCAATCGAGTTCAGCAGGGTGGTAACCTTAGAAGACTGGTTAAAAACTCTATGAGCAAGTTCATCAGCGCGAGAAAGGACGTCTGCTGCGTAGCCGGATCGGTTCAGACGGATAAGTCGGTCATCCCATATAGCCGCCACTTGCTCTCCTGATAAAAGGGCAGTCGTCAAGTTACCGTCCTCGGTCTTTGTTATGTTAAGGAAGTCCCTCGGCAAAGAGGCTCGCACGTCCTCAAAAGGTATTAAGAAATCGTCTAGCCGGGCTGCCATCTGAAGGGACTCCATCAGAGAGGACGGGAACATCTCTGTCGCGTTTAGATCATTGATGGATTGGCGCATCACACTCTTTCCGACCTCAATGAAACGAGCTGTCAGCTCCGGCTTATTCAACACACTGAAGTCGAAGGTATCGATGGCATCAAAGGCATCGAGTACTCCGAGATTATCACGACACCCGACACTCAATGCCTTTATTGGACTGCGAATACGTGGAACGGGGAGAACTTCACCTCCCGTTTTCGCCTGAATCTCCGCTGCCATGTCGACTATTTGTTGCCAATTTTTGTCAAGGAAGGAATTCAAGTGTACATCGAGTGCGAAGTGGACACGGCTCGATAGAGGATGAAGCGCACCGTCCTGCAGGATCGGTTCGGCAGTCACGACAGTAGCAGCATGGTTCGGCTTTATATACCGGCAAATCTCGGTATGCGCATAACCACCGGCAAGGAAAAAGGCACAGGAAAACAAAACAGCAAGTACCAGAAAGAGGAAGGCAACGGAAACTGCGCATCGGATCTTCCGACGTCCGCGTGCAGAGATATCCACTGCGACACAGTGAAACTGACAGAGTAGCCAGATAATCCCAATGGCGACCAAGGTAGTACTCAACCAGAGTGCACATCCTACAGCCAGCAGACGATTAGAAGCAAACACAGAGGTCTCAAAAGCCTGCACAACAACATCGTCTGCGGTTTTGTCAAGAATTTCTAATGCCCCATCGATGTGCACAGCCAGATTCTCCCACTGGGACTCGGTCAGATTGCGAATGGTATCAGGAATGTTCAATTCGATACTCATACGTTCCATGGTCTTGACCAGGTTCTGATCGGCCAGACTTCGGCTGCGTGTAAGCTCGGCTGCAATCGATTCGGGTGTCTTGTTCTGCACACCAGCAACGAAATCTAAGGCAATAGCAAAATCAAACTGATTTAGCCTCCAGTCTGAACGAACTGACAGTTCAGAGAGATGCCATTCTGTAGAACTACAGTTTTGCTTAATTAGGCAGGCTTGGGGATTTTGCTCAGTAGTTAGTTGCTCCATATAGCCGGTCCAACGAGCGATCGTCAAGCTGAGATCAGAAACAGCATCTACGTACTCGTGGACGTGCTTCTTCAGCGGCAAAGCCAGCTGCATCAGACGAACAGTGTGGTCTCCCAACTTTTCGCCCAGCTCAAACGCCTTCTGCACCCCAAGCTGATCGAAGAGGAGATTGTTAAACTTGGTGGCTGTCTTGTTTTGCATATCTTCCGTGTCCTCCATGAGTTGGTAGACAGTGGGCAGCGTTGCCGACCGGGTACTGTTGATGAAGTCTTTCAAATAGGCTCGAATATTGGCTAGGGCAGTTGCTGTGGCGGGGAACACTTTCTGCTGCCTAAACCCTCCGTTATCTGGAAGAATTGGTGAACTTATGTTGGCCTCAGTCACAAGGTTGCTGTGTAGAGACGAACTTGTAATGACACCGAGAATAGCCGTAATCAATATGAGAAAGACCAGTATGAAAATTCCCATGAACTGCGCTGCAAGACACATCCAATGGGAGTGGAGCCGTCGTCGAGTCAAGAAGAAAACAGACTTTGTTGCTGATGTAGGACGGAGTCCATTGGCATTGTTTGAACCGGACTTCTGGTGGGGTATATCTATACCTGGCCTCTTCATGAAAGCAGGGTTTGCGCACTTCTGGGCTTCATGAGCAGCAGTTTGGTATTTGTGCACAAGGGAAAAGGGGGCTCTGCCGGACGTTTTCCTGTATTGAAACCACCACATGATGCCGAAACCGGTGAGGAGGCCAATGCACCAGACCACACAAAAGAATATGCCAGCAAAGAATCCCCCAGAGCCAATGGTTGAAACGAAATGAGCAGAGTAGGACCGCTTATCCAATTCTGAACTGTTTTGTTGAGAAGCCGAGAAGCGCACATAGTTCTCGAGAATGAAGGAGAACAGACCACCATCTAGGGTGGGCTGGGCGCCATCGGCCACGCCAGTTGCAATTGCGTAGAAGGCATTCATGCTCTATGTTGTTTCGTTACTGGATCCACTTATTTGGCATTAGAAAAAGAGTCCAAAGCGTATAGATCTCAGAGTTGTTCTGTAACAGGGGGCAATACTTAGCCGCATGTAAGGCTGTCAATTTTGCCGAATGAAAGGCCCACCGAACCCTGCTGATGAATGCACCAATGTAGCTCACGGCCTTATTGGTTCATCGCACTCTTTACTACGATTGGGCGCGCCTTTGCTTGCAAGCCAATCATCACTAAGCTTATTTGCGTCATTGCTAATCATCCGCTGGGCGCCGTCGGCCGCGACTGTCGCGGTGGCGTGGCCTAAGTACAGTTTCTAAGCGGTGACTGTGTGCGTTTTCAATGATATTGCGGTTCCGAGCATCAAAGTTAACGAAATCGAGTTTCCGAGTCGGTTTGCATCAATAGTGAGAACAATGTGGTTTTCCGAACTGAAGCCTCTCACGTCTCTTCTAGTACGAAAGGTGGTGCCTTTTCAAAAACAATTAGCTTATGAGGATCTGCGTCGAGTCGAACTTTTGTAAGTGTTAGCGACGGTCATGCTAATCTTACTTTCATTATATGATTAGGGAAAGTCGCTACAAACTGACCAGTCGAACTGCGCAATCGCCTTTGGGAACGTAAAGCCTCCCACTATCCCGAAAATCATTTTTGCGGACGGGCATGCCAAATACTTCTCTTGAATGCTACACGTTACTTTGTATAACGGTCGCACCAAGTATTTCCGGTGCATTCGCTCCTGAATCAAAGCGTCCTAAATCCGCTTCTTTGTCGCGGGTCGTCTGTGCTTATTTGAAGCTAATTGCTGGGGTTTTATGCTATCAATAGCTCTTAATAGGCTGCTACTAGTGAATTCTCAAAGTCAGGACGGTCACGGAACGCAAAGGCGGTGCATGCAAAACTCGTCTGCGTAAAACCCCGCGGGATTATTTTGCTGAATACTCAAAGTCTTCTGCCATTGACACTAAGGATGCTTCAAGCGCCTCTGTGGGCAAGACTGATTTATTTCTGGGGCTGTTTTATAGCGGACACGCGCCTCAACCAGTAATGAGTGCCTGATAGTCTAGATTCAAATAGTCAGAAAAGTATTTCCTGGTCGACAACAGCATAGTTCTTCTTTATTTGCTTTATGATTATGACGAATGACCTTCATCTGAGTGCTTGACGAGTTATACCAAGCTGGTCCCTTCGCGGCAAAAAGATAGATGAATCTTCTTGCGCCCTGGTGTTTTCTGTCACGGTATTTATATATTTTTCGAACATTAAGTCGTTCCTTGGTACGCCAGATAGGAACCATAAAGGTAAACGTTAATATGTCACCCAAAGGATCCCAACAGACTGATCGTGTAAGTTCAGAGTGGCTGAAATATTGTCATCGAGCATTGCCAATTGCCTTACATTAATTATGCGAAGTATAAATACTAGTACGTACCGAAAGGGCAGGAACCTCAGGGAAATGGGGCCTATTTGCTCCTTTAATTAAGGCCTATCCAGCGAGTTCACGACTAGCGGATAATCGAACGGGCTTCAGTGAATATTGCCAACGAAATAAACGACTTGTTCTATCTGAAGAATGAGTGGTTAGTTACATTTAGAATGGTCACAAGTCGGAGAAGTACCACATCGAATATTGTCTGCAATAAAATAAACCTTCACCGCCATCTTGCACAATCCCGGAGTTCTAAACTGATGTATCAGGGAGGTGGATGAAGGCGTCAGCCTTCGAATTGAGATGTTTCAGAGGACTATCGCTCCAGTGAGTCCCTCCCACATAACCAGTGTCCGCCTGGCCATCGTCTAACCGGTTTTATGAATTGTCGCAGGACTATGGTCAGCGCGCTGAAGCTGGACTTACTGAATAATCAGGCCGTTTTGCGGAAGTTTGAAAGGGAACCCAATTTCCTTCGAAAACCAAGTCTCCGAAATCGGTTATAAACACCGTCTCGCAATTGCAGGTGTGTACGACGCTAAAATCCTTGTGTTTTTGGACGTAACACAGAATTTAATTTCAAATATCGGTTTTTGACTGATTTTTGGAGATGATGAAAACCGCGAAGACGAGAATGACTGCTTCATGAGTTGTATTTATCACTTTGTGCCTCCTCTCCTTTTAACGCGTATACAGCCAGAGAACGGCAGATTTATGGCTTGATATAACCCTCTCACCAAGGTAATGTAGACCAATAACCTGACTCAACATGCTCTCCATAGTTAATTGTATTTTCTACTCAGGTGAAAGGAAGCCAGCAGTCAGAAGAGGCCCAGGTAGTCGTTTGTGATTATTATTGCCTAACATTTGTGTTTCACTCCACCCGTAGAAGATATTCTAAAATTTGTTGTCTCTGTCCTGTTTTTATGCATACTCGGGGCATTCTAACAGTTAAAATTCTTCAGTCGAGCTGAGGGAGACTGAGCGTGAAATTGACTTAAAAACGATTTCTGAATTACACTGTGATTGGGGAACTGGTGAAATTGACTTATTTTGTTCGAACAGAAAGCAGTTCGCGAAAAGAAATTCGCTGTTTTTGCTTGTTTCCCTGCTCGTCTCAAATTCGTCCAACTAACGTCATCCAGAAGTGACCAGGCTTAACCACTCGAAGCATACGAGTTGTTGTAGACGCCTGATGCTTCTGCGGAGACAGCCCCTTTAGGCGACGATACAGTACCCAAAATTGTCAATGGACTCAGAGACCAGGCGCATTCGTAGACTTGAGCTTGACAGCTTGGAAAAAAGAGATTTAATCAGGTAGCAAATTACTTGCAGCAAGCACCTATGGAGTCATTAGTCATGCCAAAATGACAGCAAATTCAGCCAGCAGGTCAGGCGTCAAGTGACAAGTTTTTGCAAGCATATGCGGGCGGTAACTTTGGCGTTTTTATCGTTGACTAGCCATCTGGCCTCTGACCCCGTTTGTCAGATGATTTGTAGTTAATACTGCTCTGTGACATGCCGGCTGGTGTATGCGGGCTACGCAGGGTCTCCAGGCTTTAAGGTTAGCTTGTGTATACGCTCGTCTGACCTCGTCAGCACGTAAGGTCTAGTGAGTCCCACCCCCCTCCCCTCACAAGCAAATGCGCAGTCTGAACGCAGAGAAGTGTGGTCTCGCACACTTTTATCCCTTACTTGATGTGGTACCGTATCTAAGTGGGGATCGACTTAGCATCTGGCCACCCAGACACTTTTTACTTAACCCTGACTGCAATGCCACCTGGTTGTCGTGGCAACTAATAGGAACTACAATGGTCGCGTAGGAACGCACTACAGTGATATTTTTAACGCGCTCGCACGCACGGAGGAAAGTCACTGGTCGAAAACCGCAACAATGTGTTCATTAGCCGAGGCTTTTTAACTTGCACAGATGTCCATCACAACGACAGAAGAGTCAGAAGCGCTCGTAGGACATTAGCTCCCAGTCCGGGCTATTGTGTCTCACGCCCTGTAAGAACGTTTGGATAGAGGATAGCTAGGCACGAATTGTGTGAGCGAAAGCATTAACAACTATCCCAGCTTTCCACTTCAACACTCATGACGCATTAGACCTAGCTCGAAGTTAGGCCAATGGCTATTCTACAGGGGGCCTGCGGATCTGCGAGGTGAGCGAAACGTCGTCTTCGGAAAAGGCTCAACCGACCGACACTCTTATTCCCTGCCTGCATGCAAGTCCTGTCCAGTTATCCCCGAACTTGTCTCATCAGTACTTGATGGATATTAGCGTTCTGTAACAGCTCGATAGTCTCATGCGACGATATCCACTGCGTGGTGGGCGCAGGACGGTGATTTGCGTGTAAATTGGCTTATAATGACAGCAGCCGCACTCCCTTCCTCACCCATCTATGGCCAGTGGCAAGGCAGTCAGGACAACCGCAGTCAGGATAGCGAGTAGTGGCTGACGGGTATAAGGTAGCCCGTCCACACATGACCTGGTCCACGCATAATGAAGCAGTTTTTCACGTAAGAAAGCGGACGGCCCGCCCCCACCCAAGTGGGAGTGTCATAGAGTTTATATGCTGAAGGAGCCCTTGAGTCTGACGCTGGGTGCACCTGCCAGTCACTCCACACGCTCACGCACAGCAATGACCACGGGCGCCGAGTCACTCAGCCCGTTGGCGGCTGCGACTTTTAGCGCGTCAGATTTATTGCAGTGAGTGTGGTGCCGTGGGGATGGGTCCCTTAGAGTTGGTCTGTCTCTTCCCTTCCCCTTGCACCGGTTGACTGCCCCAGCCTGTCAGTCATTCGGTGCTGGGGGTGGGACGCAGTGGCTGACAGAGCTGCATCAGCCTCTCTACGTGCGTCACGCATGACTTGCGCGGACACTAGGTTGCACCAGAGAACATGGCTCTAAACGATGTGAAAGACACATTTTCTGTCCGTATTTCGGAGGATGTGGGTCGGGCTTTGATGTTGTGTATGTGCTGGTCTGAGGAGGTGTAATGACTGGGCTTGATCTGCGCTGTTTTATTGCAGATTCGCATGGTGGCGCAAATGGCCGGGCAGGTACATGTGGTGAATGAGTGATTGTAAGCAGTTTGGGTAGTAGAGGCGAGTGTGACGGACGTATGTCAGTGTTCCTGGCACTGGTTCGTCAGCCTCAGTTACCGACCAGGTCGTTGCGTGGCGTGTCGTAAGTGTGCGGGGGAAATATGGACAGGATATTTTGGTAGCTACTGAGTTGGCAGTGGTGGCGGCGGTGCTGTTATTAATGGCGACGTGCTACAACTGTATTGAAAACCACAAATCGCGACAACTTAGTCTCGGGCATGACAGCATTTCTCGTGGCCGCAATCTATCCGCAGCCACAGAAGTTTCAGTGCAGTGTTGCCTTATTCAGTCGATGAAGAAGGCCCTGTACAAATTGTTGCTGACGATAAGGGAGGGCCCTATCGCACACGCGGCATTCTAGTTGCCAGGGTGACTGTCACCGACGTCCAGCAGATACCTCCCGACCACAAAACCAAGAAGACGGCTCGTTAAATCGAGAGGCGGTCCGT